GCTGGAGCTCAGCTTTTGGAGGGACCAAGGAGCCCTGTGGATATTCCTATCCTCTCCCATGGATCTCAACCCATTCTTCCCTGCAGGGAAGGACTGGGTTAATATGTCTAACTGGGAAAAGTTGGTAATACTGAAAAACAATCATAAATAGGAGTGAACCACAGACCCTGGGCACTATCTTTTAATAGCTCTCCAGGTTGGGGCCAAGGCAGAGACCCCAAGACGTGGCATTATAGGTTCAGAAATCCCCGTTCAGCTCTAAAATTCTCAGAAGGTGATGATGAAGGGAGATCTGCTTAGTTCAGCCTCACTTCAATCCCCTGCCACAAGAAAGTGTCTTTTGTCTTCCTCTAGAGCTGCTAACAAGGGCTAAGGAGTGGTTAGGTTTTCTATCTCTCTGGGCGTCAGGTTTGGCTGGGTTGACCTGTTACTCTAGAGCACTGAAAGAGCGGAGGGGGCCATGATAGTGCTGTTTGGTGAGATTGGTAAGAAGCCTTCTTCTCCTGCCACACCTGGAAGGATGCTAGATGAATCTAATTCTACCTTCTGAATACACCTATTCTGATCCTGAAGGGCTACATTTCTGGTGGAGGTGGGGAATGGAAATAGTCTTGGGTTCCCACCATCAAGTTGTGATAATTCTATCAGGGCTGACAGAGGCACTTCAGTCTCAGACCACACCCCTTCGAGACTGGCAGCGATGCCTCCCCAAAGCTAATTTGTCCAAAGAGAGAGTAGGGCCACTTCCTCCTAACTTTGCCACCAACGTTCCCTGATACTGAGTTGGAATTGGAGCTGAATGTGACTTCAGAGTTTATTTAGCCAAGACTCCCAATTTTACAAATGAGACAACTAAGGGACAGAGACTGGGGCCGATACAACCAGCTCATGTTTTTAGGGCCGCAAATGCTCTACCTATCTTATTTCATCTGATCCTCACAGCAGACCTTTGAGATAGGTGGCAGCCAAGGCCTAGAGAAGTTAAATGCTTTGTCCATCTCCTAAGTATCTGAGGTAGGATTTAAATCCAGGTCTTAGTGACTCCAAGTCCTGCACTGTGACTTAGCTGAAGTCATATAGGAAGAGGATGGCCTTAATGACACCTAGGTTGTGAGCCCGATTGACCAGAAGGATAGTGGCACTCTAGACAATTATAGGGATCTTAGCAAGAGGGGAAGGTTTTGGAGAAAGATAATGAGTTCAGATTTGGACATTTATAAGGACATCCAGTTTAAGATGTCTAAAATAGGTAGTTAGAGATGCAAGACTGGAGGTCAGGATAGAGGTTAGGGCTGGACAAATACATCTAAGAGTAATCTGCATACAGATAGTAACTGAATCTATGGAAGTCAAAGCGATCACCAAGTGAAATAACATAAAGTGAGAATAAAAAAGAATCTAGAAACAGACCTCAGGGGCCCTCAATATTAAAAGGCAAGTAAGTGGTCACCTAGTCTTTGTCTGAAAATCTTAAGAGATGGGGAGGCCACTACCTCCTGAAAAAGTCCATTGTCTCCAAGATAATTCATATTTTAAAAATTCATTATTTATTTTTTTAACATTTTTTTAAGAAAATTTTGAGTTCTGAATTCTCTCCCTTGCTCCCTCCACCTTGCATTGTGAAGACAAGAAATGTGACATCAATTATACATGAAAAATCATATAAAACATATTTCCATATTAGCCATGTTGCACAAAAAAAAGCAAGAAAATTAAAGAAACTGAAAAATTATGCTTCAATTTGCATTCAAACTCCATTGGTTCTTTCTCTGGAGGGAGATAGTATTTTCTATCATAAGTCCTTCAGAATTATCTTGGATCATTGTATTGATCAGAATAGCTAAGTCATTCACAGTTGATCATCATACATTACTTCCGTTACTATATATAATATTCTTCTGGTTCTGCTCACTTCACTTTGTATCAGTTCATATAAGTCTTCCCAGATTTTTCTGAAAGCATTCTGCTCATCATTTTTTTTTTTTTGGTGAGGCAGTTGGGATTAAATGACTTGCCCAGGGTCACGACAGCTAGTAAGTATCATGTATCTGAGGCTGGATTTGAATTCAGGTGCTCTATCCACTGTGCCATCTAGCTGCTCCCTCATCATTTCTTATAGCACAACAGTATTCCATCACAATCTTATACCACAACTTGTTCAGCCATTCCCTATTTGATGGGCATCTCCTCAATTTCCAGTTCTTTGCCACCACAAAAAGAGCTGCTATAAATATTTTTATACACATAGATCCTTTTCCTTTTTCTTTAATCTATTTGGGATACTGACCTTGTAATGGTAGTGCTGCGTATAGTGCTGGGTCAAAGGATATGAACAGTTCCATAGCCCTTTGGGCGTAGTTCCAAATTGCTCTCCAGAATGGTTGGGTCAGTTCACAACTCCACCAACGATGCATTAGTGTGACGATTTTCCCATATCTACTCTAACATTTGTTATTTTCTTTTTCTGTTATAGTCAATCTGATAGGTATGAGGTGGTACCTTAGAGTTGTTTTAATTTACATTTCTCTAATCAATAATAAGTTTGAGCATTTTTGTATATGATTGCACATAGCTTTGGTTTCTTCTTCTGAAAACTGCCTGTTCATATCCTTTGACCATTTATCAATTGGGGAATGGGTCATATTCTTATAAATTTAACTAAGTTCTCTGTATATATCTGGGAAATGAGGCTTTTATCAGAGAAATTTGCTGTAAAAAATTTTCCCCAGTTTCCTGCTTTCCTTTTAATCTTGGGTTGGTTTTATTTGTGCAAACCCTTTTTAATTTCATGTAATCAAAATTATCTATTTTACATCTTGTGATCCTCTCTCTCTTTTATTTGGTCATAAATTCTTACATCTTGTGATCCTCTCCCTTATTTGGTCATAAATTCTTCCCTTCTCCATAGATCTGACAGGAAAACTATTCCTTGTTCCCCTAATTTGCTTATGATATCACCTGTTATTTCTAAATTATGTCCTCATTTGGAACTTATCTTGGTATATAGTGTGAGATATTGGTCTATACCTAGTGTCTGCCAAACTGTTTTCTAGTTTTCTCAGCAATTTTTGTCAATTAGTGAGTTCTTGTCTCAAAATCTCGAATCTTTGGGTTTATCAAATACTAAATTACTATGGTCCAATTACTACTCTATGTTGTGTACCTTGTCTATTCTACTGATCCACTACTCTATTTCTTAGCCAATGCCAGACTGTTTTTATGATTACCATTTCGAGATCTGGTACTGCTCGGTCATCTTCCCTCACGTTTTTTTTTCCATTTATTCCCTTGATATTCTTGACCTTTTGCTCTTCCAAATCAATTTTATTATTTTTTCTAGCTCTATAAAATAATTTTTGGTAGTTTGATTGGTATGTCACTGAATAAGTAAATTAATTTAGACAGAATCATCAATTTTATTATATGGACTCAGCCTACCCAAGAGCAATTAATATTTTCCAGTTGTTTAGACGTCTTCATTTTTGTGAAAAATGTTTTGTTATTGTGTTCATGTAGTTTGGTTTGTCTTAGCAAGTAGACTCCCAAGTATTTTATATTGTCTGCAGTTATTTTAAATAGAATTTTTTTTTATCTCTTCCTGCTGGTTTTTGTTGGTAATATATAGAAATGCTGATGATTTATTTTATATCCTACAACTTTGCTAAAGTTTTGTTTCAATTAGTTTTTTAGTTGATTCTCCTGGATTCTCTAAGTATATCATCATATCATCTGCAAACAGTGATAGTTTTGTTTCCTTATTGCCTATTCTGATTCCTTCAATGTCTTTTCCTTCTCATCACTATAGTTAACATTGCTAGCATAATATTGAATTGGTGATAATGGGCTTCCTTGTTCCACTCCTTATCTTATTGGGAAGGCTTCTAGCTAATCCCCAATACAGGTAATGCCTGCTGATGGTTTTAGACAGATACCACTTATTATTTGAAGGAAAGCACCATTTATTCTTATGCTTTCTAGTATCTTTAATAGGAATGAGTGTTGTATTCTGTTAAAAGCTTTTCTGCGTCTATTGGGTTAATCATATGATTTTTATTGTTTTGTTATTGATATGGTCGATTATGCTGATAGCTTTCCTAATATTGAGCCCAGACCTGCATTTCTGTTATAAATCCCACCTGATCATAGTTATATGATCTTTGTGATATATTTCTATAATCTCCTTGCTAATACTTTATTTAAAATTTTTGCCTCAATATTCATTAGGGAAATTGGTCTATAATTTTCTTTCTCTGTTTTTGATTTTCTTGGTTTAGGTATCAACACCATATTTGTGTCTTAAAAGGAATTTGATAGGACTCCTTAAGATAATTCTTATTGTAGATTTCCCTAAAATGAAAAACTAAAGTTTAAAAAAAAGAGAGACTAGCTTTAGAACTCAGGTCTCCAGACTCCCCATTAGAAAGGTTCTACTTCTCCATACTGCCTCTTTGCATCCATTCATTTGGACATTTATCATGTACATCTTAGCTACAGAGAACTGGGTCCGGGAAAAGGACCATAGGACTTAGAACTGGAAGGAGGCTTAGAGATCAGCAATCTTTCTGTTTTAAATATGGGAAAAAATAAAGCCCAAAGAAGGTACGTGATTTGCCTATGGTCATATAGGTAGCAACTCACAGAGCTGGGATTCTGACCCAGGATCTCTGCCTCCAAATTCATTGGTTTTTTTTCCAAGTGTTTTGCTTACTCCTAAAATCCAGAACTGTCCTTGAGAAGTGAGGGTAAATTCTTAATTGATTCTGGGTTTCACTGCCGAGAGCCCTGGACAGGAGGGAACCCTGAAGAATTGGCCGTGACTAAGGGAGGACCCTCAGCTGGTAATCAAATCCATGGGATCATTTGTCCATCTGTCCTAAGGGTCAGAGGTTGGCCTGGAAGGCCCTCTGGAAGGGGGCCAGTGACTTCTGTCTTTACTTAGGTCGGAGGAGGAGTCGGGTGGGAATGGAAGCAAGAGGAATATGAGTCCTTGTTCCATCCTCTCATGCCACATTGCAGGTCCTATTGACCCTCTGGAAGTCTGGCCAAATTTGCAGCAGTTCTTGGGACTGGAAGTGGTGAACCAGGGCAAGTCGGTGGAAGGCACAGTGTTCATACTGTAGTCGAAACATCAGGAAGGCTTCAGGGGAAGAAGGAGTAGGCTTTACCCCCAGACGCTGTAGGCACAAGCCCACAAACACATCCTCCAAGTAGATGGCTTTGAGAGTCTGGGCCACAGCCAGGACCCTAAGGGCTAAAGATCCAGAAAGAACATAGCCGGGACCCCCACAATAGGGAGGGTACTTGTCCTGCAAGTATAGCTCTGGAGGCATATACCACTTGAAAGCTGGGTTCCGAAGAGGGCCTGTATTTGTGTAAATGTAACCTGTGGTAAAGTTAGGCCGTGGGGGTCCATTGGGCTGAAGCACCTGCCGCACCAGAAAGCTGGGGTTTAGAAATACATCGCTGTCCACCTTGAGCACATACTGGACACTGGGACAGTACCGGGCCATCCACTCCAGCCCCATGAGGACCTTGAGAGTCAAGTTGTGGTATGTATCCAGGAAGCCCACCTGGAGGAGATCCCCATGCTCCCTGTCCTCCTCCTCCAGGAGGGCCTGAAGTTTCTCAGCAAAGAGGGGTTGCGGCAGGCCAAGAACAAAGAGGCGGAGGATGACCACACCAGGAACCAAGGTCTCATTGCCCCATGTTTGCCGGATGGCCTGGCGTATCCCCACATCCTGGGGCCGAGTCATCACCAGCATGAGCAGGAAGGGGGCACCTCTGGGACCTTTGCACTTATTAGGGTGGGTGACTAGGAAAGGGTAGGGGTAAGGGTACTTCAGTTCCCAGGGATGTGGTGTCCGAGTCTTCCACTCAAACTTCCTTAGAGGAAGACTCAAAGACCCCCCAGCTGGCTCTGTGGAGACCAAGGGCTTCAAATCTGAGGAAAGAGTCTGGAAATCTACAAACTGACCCACCAGCAGTATCAGCAGCGCCCCAAAGGCTGTGCCCAGCAGAGTCCCCATCACCAGACGCCTCCTGCTCAGCTTCATGGTGCCAAGGTTGTCCTGGGTAGGGAGGAGGAGTGAGAGGCCTGGTCAGTGCTAGGTGCAGGGTTCTAGCTCAGCTTTCCAGGCCCTTCTCCTCCCTCTGTGGCTCAGCTTTTTCAGGGTGTGTGGGGGCCCCCGGATTTGTAGATCCAGGAACAATAGGAAAGATAAGGGCATGGGAATAGGGAAGAAGACTCCCCCAGTCCACTTTGTGCTAGGCCAGCTGCCAATTTAGTACTGAAAGAACAGGAAGAGGGGCAGGTCAGAAGGTTTAGGGAGCCTGCACTGCAGGGGGTGGGGGTGGGAAGAGCCTTGAGCTGAGAGTTGAGAGCCCTGGGGTTTAGGCTGCCACTGACTCTCCTTGGACAAGTGACTCCTCCAAGGGGAGGGGCTTCAGGTTTCCCCATCTGTGAAATGAGGGGAGCTGACCCAAATGACTTCTAAGGTCCCTTCCAGCTATGAGAGTATGATTTTGTGAGATTAAAGGAGTGAGGACCAGAGGGGCCCCATCCGAGCAGCCAACAACCCCTGGCTGTGCAAAAAGGTTTGGGGCAGAAAGGGACAGGGGCTATCCCTACGGAACCTTCAGAGAACTCTGGTGTGAAAAGCAGGAATCCTTCAAACTGGCCTCATTTCTTGCTTTGCTTTTTCCTCTCCTATCTAAAATTCTCCCTTCCTCCCAGACCTAGAACCAGCCACATCCCCTGGGGCTCAAGCTCACCCCAGGGAGATGAGATCTAACCCTGAAAAAGCCAAAGTCTTTCCTGAGAAAGGCCCCAGCCTTTACCCTAACCCACCCCATTACCATCTAGCCCAGCCTGTTTCCCAGAGCTTCAGCTTCCCACAGGGGTGATAGGAGACAGACTGTTGGGTTATTGCTCTGAAAAACCCAGAATCTGGACTTTTGATGTCCTCCAAGCTCCCTCTCCCAGATTCCACCCATCAGTCCCCTCCCCTCTAGCCCAACAGGGTCCTCACCCTCTTATCTAGCCGGTCGCCTGGGATGTGGTGTCAGCAGGAGAACAACTCAGAGGGGACTGGTAGGCATCTGTCCAGGTAGGCACGGATATGGGAGGAGTGAGAAGGTGGGAGTGGGAGGAAACCTGCCTAGCTCTGAGCTCACTTGGAAGTGTTGGGTGGGGCAGAGCACCCAAGCAACCAGCCAGCTTGGCCTTGCCTGGAACTCAGCTGACTGGACATTGTCGGCAGGGATCTAAGGTGGCTGCAGTAGCAGCCAAAGCTGCCTCTGTTTGGGGGGAGGTGATGTGAGGGAGAAGGGCTAAGGAGGGGTGAGTGAGATCAGGTACTGGGCCAGGGGCTGCCACAAAGGGAAGGGGAACAAAATAGAACCTGCTATAACAACAATAATAATAATAATAATAACAATAATAACCAATATTTATATAGTGCTTTAAGGCTAACAGAATGTTCAACCTACATTATCTCATTTTAATCTCAAAAAAAACAAAACAATAACCCCTTTGAGGTAGGCACTCTAAGGCCCACCAACTACGTTTTGCGTGTAGAGGAGGACGCATTCTATCGTTCTAAAAGAGTTGCTGCTGTGGCAATGTTCCACTCCTGGACTGATGTACCTGCTCCTACTTGGACGCCAGAAAAGATAGGTAAGTTAGTACCAACATCCAGTCAGTCTGGACCTTCACCTCTCAGTACATTGGCCTTCTCCTCCATTTAGGTTCAGTCGAGGGTTTAAAATGTAAACTCATTCTCCATGATGTCCTAAAAGTCTTAATAGAGTTTTAAGCTACTGAATCCTAAAATATAACACTTAAAATATGATATTTTATAAATCTATCTAACTTGACTTATCTTTACCCCCCAATTCTCAGTAAGGTTCTTATTCCCTTCCCAACTTCTTGGGATCCAAAAGGAAAACACACTCACACTTTGGTTCAAAATCTATTCATTTCATAAAATCGAATTTTTTTTTTAAGCTAGAGTATAAAACTCCCAAGTGGCTGACACCGTGCCCTTTTAATGCGGAAGCAAATGGCATTAGGGACTATTTGTTTTATTTTTTTTAAATGATGAATTAAAATTAAAACAATGTCCTGTTCTAAAGTCCTTGGTCTCACAAAGATCAATCAAAGATCTAATCAGCCGTCCCAGAATAGACAACTTTGAGTGATCTCAATTCTAAATCATTAGAGAAAGTTTGTCTTGGGTATGTTATAGTAACTGGAGTGAGGGGGGTGGGAAGGGAGGGGAGAAATGTCTTTTTGTTTAATTCAATTAAGAAATTTCCCTTTGTTTAATGTCAACCAGATTGAAAAGGGAATTGTTAAAAAAAAAAAGTGAAGTTGGTTTCAGAAAGATATTTTCTTCACGGGTGTGGAGGTATTAAAGTTATTATTCTCCAAATCCTAAATTTAAACTGTCTATCATCGGTTTTCTTGGCTGTGGAATTTCATCTTTTGTTTCATAGTTAAGTTCACAATTTTACTTTCACCAAGGGAAAGCCACCTCCAGACTCTGTTTGAAATGAGTTCTCAGCCACCACCCCCCACCTCCCAATATCAAAGTCACGAAATTGGGAGGAAAAGGAGGAAACAGTATCATCACTCAGTGATGGTGAGCCCACTCTGATTCCTGGTAATAGGGCTGTCACTTTCTGGCAGACTGGCCAGTGAATCCTAGACCCAACAACTATAAGTTTAGCGGGTGTTCCCAGTGGCTTCCAATAAATCTCACTCATGTTGCAAGTTCGCTGTTAACACCATATCTTGGGTGGGCTTTTCCAGTGACCCAGAGCAGGAGTTGGCCAATTTTTTTTTCTATAAAGAGCCAGATAGTAAATATTTAAAACCTTGTAGTCCAAGAGGCAAAATCGAGAGTGTTATATAGGTACTTACACAACAAAGGAGAAAACAAATTTCCACAAAATTTTTATTGACAGAATTCAGAATATAACAATAATAATGAAGTATAATTTTTTTAATAGAGATCTACCAATTGGAAGAATGGAATTCTTTTTGGGGGGGATAACACTTCACTTAAAGTTTTTTTCAATTATTAGTCATGTTTGATTCTTTGTGACCATGTGGATCATACTGTCCATGGGGTTTTCTTGGCAAAGATACTGGAGTGGTTTGCCATTTCCTACTCCAGTGGATTAAGGCAGAGGTTAAGTGACTTGCCCAGGGTCACACAGCTAGTAAGTGGTTGAAGCCATATTTGAACTCAGATCTTCTTGCCAGGCTGTCTAATTGCCCTTCACTTCAAGTTAGTGTTTCATATAATCAAAATTGATTGCAAATGTTCATCTGTTAATGTTGATTTGTAATGAATTTTAAGTTTCATCTGTGAAAATGTCCTTTCACACAGGTACTGCCAAATACTGATATCAAACCATGTACCTATGAGGTTTTTGCTTGTTTGTTTTTGTTTTGTATTGTAATTCTCTTTTTTATTTAATTTAATTTATTTTTGTTACATTTTAAATTCTGAACTGTCTCCCTCCCTTCCTCCCCACCCTACACTAGAGAAGACCACCATTTGACAGATAGATAGACAGATGGATGGCTAGATAGGTAAAATTATACTATACACACTTCTGTTTTTCAGTTCTTTCTCTGGAGGTGGATAACATCGTCCTTCATAGGTCCTTTATGGTTGATTTGAGTATAATACTCAAAACAACTTAGTCGGTCACAGTTGTTTTTTGACTAATATTACTGTTACTGCATACAATATTCTCTTGGTTCTGCTCTTTTCATTCCTCATTATTTCATGCATATCTTGCCATGTTTTTCTAAGAGCATATAATTTTAGGTGAACACATTCATAGTGAAGTGGAAGATATACAGTGCCCTAAGGGTTAAGAAAGTATTAATGTTGCTTTTCCAGTACTTGGTGAAACCACAGTTTATTCTGTAGCTTGAAAGGCGTCCTCAGGTCCTTTCCCCCTTAACTCGAACCAGTACCAAAAGAATTGCTTTTGTGTCCCTTAGCCTTACATTTCCCCTGTCCTTTAATTTTTAACCTGTGCCCTCATGCCCTGTAAACCATAAAAAGTCCCTTCATCTCGCTCATCCTATGTCATGAAATCCTTTCTTGACCTGTCTCTAATCTTTAACCCCCTTAAAACTTCTACAACTCTCTTGTAAGCAACCATCTTCCTCATCCTGTCCCTATAAAACTGTCCCTATCCCTCTTTAAGTTGCTAGTCCTCTTTCCAGAGTTAGCTCTCTGCTTTTGCGTCAATAAAGCTCCCAATGGTTACTGAGAAGGTCTAAGTGAATTCTTTCACACCTGAACCAGCTCTCCCAACTCTAAACATCAACAATCGGTTGGAAAACATTTGTAAAATTCTATTAGAGTCTTCTCTGGATAGTTGCCTTTTAAGCATCTTATTACATTGCGCTTAATCAAGGCTATTCAATTCAATTCAATTCAAGGTTAGGTGGAAGCTCCTCAATTGAAATAAAGAAAGAAGAACATCACTGTTGGTGAAGTTGTGAACTGATCCAACCACACTGGAGAACGATTTAGAACTATACGCAAAGGGCAATCAAACTGTACATACCCTTTGACCTAGAAAAGGATTTATTTAAAAATATTTTAGCAGCTCTTTTTAGGGTGGCAAAGAACTGGAAATTGAAGGCATGACCATCAATTGGTGTGACAAGATCAAGAGTATCACCTTCTCTGAGGTATAGCTGGGGTGGGATGGAGGAGTAAGTCATAAGAAATTAGTAAACTGAGGAACTGGGAGGTTAATTTGAGAGACTATCAATATACATATTGAAGTCCTCTGGTATTAGGGCAGGGTTTGCCTTCAGAGGGAAAGAGAGAGAGACTGGTAAGTCAGGCACTGAACTCATTGAGGAAGAAGGCAGAGTGTCCTAGAGACTGGTAGACAATAGCTATCAGAATCTTGATTGAGTGGTAAATCTTTGCTGAATGAACTCCAAAGGACAAAAGGTAACTGAGTAATAACGGTAAAGAGCTGGAAATGACAGTGGGCAGCAAGGAATATGCCA